GTTGTAATATAGGCTTGTTTTTATTAACTTCATGCATATATTCCGTTTCTACTTGAATCAGAACGGTTTCATTGTTTGGCGGTGCCCGTTGTTTAGAAGTTCAATAATATGGATTGTTAATTAAATTAATAACTTGCAAAAATCATGGACCTGAACTTCCAGCCTGCTGTGTGGAGTGTTCGTTCCACTGACAAAAGATATTTTTATATTGAGATTCAAATGCGGGATACTTGGCGAATGGTGATCATGACTTGCGGCCATTTAATATTTTTACAAAATTCAAAGTTTGACGGCAAGAAGACATGTAGAAACCATCAGGTTTGTCTCTTTGGACCTTGGTGCTCAGCGTGAAATAATTAAGGGGGAAAAAAATGATAACGACAGCAAAAGCATGCATGACTGTTGATTTAGTAAATATTTCTTCATTCGATTCCTCCTGAGCTGTTGAAAGTCTCTGCTTTGTTTATATCATCTGGAAGTGAAATGCACAGTTGAGGACCTTGGAAAATAATTGTGTGTTGTTTTGTTATGGTTCTACATGATAAAACACTACATTATTCATTAATAATTTAATATTGGCAAGCTTGTAGTTTCACATCCGTCGTCAGGTTTCCTCAGTCCTGATTAACATTTTATCTCCTCAATAACATGTGAGAAGAATGCGTCTAGCGGCTTCCACACACACCATGGTTTTTTTCTTCGTAATCCGGTTTCCTCTTCTTGTAACACATAAGTAAAGGATTTTGTGGTTTGTTTGCAACTCGGAACAACCAAAACCACAGAATTCCTCATGGGAATGGGCACAGAATAGGGAATGGTAACACGAGATGCCGTGTCCGGATAGTGTATTGGAAAATATTTTCTCTGCATGATGTCTGTGCATGCAGCAACTGCAATCTTGGAAATGGTTGAGATCATGCAGTGGTTGAGACAACCTTACCCTCCATACAAAATTCATTGATACCCTCCTTAAGATAAATTCTATGGTAAAATTAAGTTCCCCGAACTCTTCGTTGTGTTCACAACATTGAACTGGGGGGAGAGGGGTGTCAAAGCTTGTCTTGTCAATGTGCATTAACTTTGCAGTATTGGCTGCAATTGTCTCAAGGGTTTTGTCGTGGCATACTCGGATGCCAGCATATGGCCCAGCAAGTTGCTATATCTACACTGGCATCCAACAAAATGCATTTTATGTTTGCTATCATTACAATTACAGCCGGTTGGTTACTAATATAATATAGTGTAAGGTTGGTGCAAATGAAACACCCAAAAGTTTTACTGATCAGTTTTATGTTTGACAAAGGAATTTAAGTATCCGAGGTCCGATATCGTTTCCTACGTGCGCTAGGGCGTCTCCAAACTGACAGACATTAAATATGTTAATGAGCATGAAATCGTGCCGCTCAGTGCATTAATCGTGCTTTCTGTTTAAATATCAGAATGAGCCGAAGTTCTGGATTATTCTATAATAAGTAGTTTGCTGAGCACCACTCTTTCCTCGACTCTTTCATGAGTTGTCCATATGTACCTCATGCAGTATTTTTAAAAGGGGGTCCAGTGGCTTGTGGTTTTGCCGGCCTGCTATTTTATAGCTGAAACAGGGATCACAACACAATATATAGACGTTTCATATTAGTAAACAGACGCTCTCAGACCAAATAATTTTAGATTTAATTACAAGCTTTCGGCTGTCAGTCCATGTAGCTTTCGACGGGTATGAATTGTATTATATAATTATTTGATCAGGACTACCACGCTTCAGTCTCTATATTTTCTATAGAAGTTTAATTTAATAATCTTTTTATTTCCGGTAGTTCCAACCGAAACCACAACATTTTAATTTCATTTTATGTTGTGGCTCTATTACTTGATGACTTTCTCCCTATAAGGGTCCAGTAAGGAACATCCCATCGGGGTTCCACTGTTACTGCTAATAGGGGCTTACGTTTGCGGCAAACCGCAAACGGATCGTATTTGAAAGTTAGACCGACAGCTGGAGCCTGGTTTCCATATGGTCGTAACGGTCGTAAAGATTGAGTCACGATATTTCTCATCCGAAATACAACATTTTAGCCGAACTGAAAATACGCGGAGTGATGGTTGACAGGTATAAACTACTGTATTATAAACACTGTCGTTGAGAAAGATCGTGACTCTGTTTTTATTTCCATTACGACCATATGGAAACCAGGCTTAAAAGTTCAAGTAGTTAATTTATGCTTCAATTTTAGTGCACAAGTTGCCCTAACTTTGAACAGCTATATAACAGCTCAGCTAACAGTTGACTTCAAATTACGATTTGAAGTTTGCGCCGGGATTTGACGTTTGCGGTTTAGGCTACGTTTTGCCGTAAACGTCAACCTTTAATACTGAGTCCCTATTTGATATTGCCGACCTCGTTTTTTGCCAGATTGAAAGTGGAACATTGTGGGAATATATCGAAGCCTTGGCCCTAGACAGAGAGGTGAAACAAGTGAATTAGGAGCGAAAAAACTCCCCCCCCAGGAAATGTATGATTTTCTAAGGCTAACTGGCTAAGAAATGCTGTTTCTTGCATTCTGAGACGGAGCAAAAGAGTCGTTTTCATCAGTGACACAATTTTATGGTCTATCTCAAAGACGTACCATGAAAAAGTACCATAGTTCTGTTGTTGGGCCATTAATTTGTGCACCCACACACTGTAGGACAAGAAGGAGGAAGTGTAGAGTTACTTCCTGAAATGCCTATATCTGTGTTCTTTTTTTAATTTGAACTTGAAATCTCCCCTTTTTAAATTTTTGATTTCATGAAAATTCGCACATTCGGAGGTATGTACAGATCTGCCGGATGGGCATCAGAACTGAAAAAATTTGTCGGAAATATTACTCTGAAGTGAAAACAAGATATTTTTATTTGTGACTTGATTGCGTGCTTCCTGTACGTGACCAGCTTAACTGGACTTTGACTCAATTCCAATATTGACTTCTTTCATGTAGACTAATGGAAAACACTCTTTTTGTTTTGCAAGCTGAAGCAATCTGATTTGAGCTCAATCGCCCTCATGCGGCGCGAGAAATAGAACAGGTAAAATAGGTCGGATATGTACTGGAAAGATTCCAACGTCGCAATATATTCATTGTCATTGAATCAGTATTTTGGCCATTGCATTGGGCCAATGCATCCTTCGCATGCTGGGCTTGAATGAATTCTGCTGTTGGGCAAGATCAAATACTAAATCATTTCTGACTCTGGCACTCTGCTAAGTCGTTGCATAATATCGTCAGTACCTGAACGTTGACAGGTTACAAAATGAGATTAATTTTGTATAAATAAAAAAGGTCACAACATCACGTATGCCTGCATATTATCACGGTCTTGTTAAGACGGCCATATGTAAAACCTGTGCTTATAGCTTTGAAATCACCGACAAAACCGATTAAAGGGAAAACGATACATAAATATATAGGTGACCCTTGGCTTTGTCACCGAAAAATGACAAGCGAAAGCATCACCTCTATCTAATCGAGCTGTTCTTTCTGAGGGAAGACTCTTCACTGGAAGATGAACAGTCTTTCCTGTCTCCTCGAAACCACGAATTTCTGGACCTTCCCTTAACTTATTTTATGTGGAAGTTGAATAATTCCACACTTGAAAATGCTCAATTCACACGTTTAATTTTCATTCAAGTTTCACATATTTCACATGTGGACATTATTCATTAATAGAGGTTTATAGGCTTTATATGTGAAAATTAATTTCACAAATTTAAATTTCATTTCTAGTTATGACATGTGAAATTGGACTACTTTACATGTGAAAAGGCATGTGGAATTTTGTTAGGGTCCATAAATCATAATTATGCAGATGCCGTGCCAACGTTCGAGATATCTCCAAATATATTGCTTCCGTGTTTAACACAGCTATTCAATTTCTATAGCGAGGGAAAACCTACACACTTCCGATGATCTAGTGATGTTTTGAAGGGATAAGATCTACTGCAACTACACAACAGGAACCTTCGTTGACCTATCCGTAATCCCCCGAAAGGAGGATTCGTTTTTTATTATAAATCGCTTGCAAGAATCCCTTTCTTACAGTTGTTTAGGAAAGCTTCGGATTGATAGGGATACAACTACCTGAAAAATACAAGGCGATTGATCGAGCGAAGTCCCTGGGCACAGCTAGACCATTCAAGTCTCAAGATAAAATTCTCTTGAGAAGAAAACCCGAGGGAAACCTACCCATCTCATGATGTCGTGATTTACTGCAGGAAGCTGATGGGATATAAAGTCAATGGACAATGACGTTGACGATCCCCGGACCCCACTGACTAAACGTACGATTATTTTCCTATAAAGGTTGTCTTATTAGTCTTAATAAAATTTCCAAATAACCTGCGAGACTAGTATGTAACATTTGGCTTTATCGTGCCAACAGTTTGGTATGCCTATGCATATAATAACACAAATGAAATAGCAAACATTTCGCAATTTTTAGTTTCAAATGCTATTTAATTAATTCCTGTTACTAGTTTCATAAAACGCCACCGCATGCCAATATAACCCCACTCAGTGAATATGACAAAGAAACGTGACGTTGCAATCTGTTGCGATCATGTTACATTGGTTGCATCATATCTTTCTTTTGAGGATTTATCCTTAAAAACAGGAATTTTTCAGGAACATTTTTTAAAATAGAAACTCAAGTTTTTGAGGATGTTTTGCTGTAAGGCATTGGAAAGATTCCAAGTAATTTTATTGTGCATTTATCAGATTTATTAGACCCAAATATTCTTGGTTGAATATCCGGAATCAGCCCATCCGGGCCCCATCGCAAAGTAAAGGATCACATTGGATCACAATCTTTTCCTCAGGGCATTTTATATGATTTTTTTTGTAAACTGCACAATTTTCTAGTTTTGTTTCGTTGATTTTTAGAGTTACAATGTGCGATCTAGACGTCATCGAGAATGATCGAGCCACTGAAATGACTGAATCGAGCAGAACATTTCGAAATACGGTCATTTATAGGGTCAAACGGATACTTTGGTTTCGGAAATTTTTGGGAAAACTAAGGAATTTCATAACTCTTGCCAAGGAATTCTAGAATTTGGTTTGTGAAGTTGTCAACACTTGTCAACGATGATGTTATGAAACTTGGATTTATAAGCGCTGTGTCGATCCTCTTTGTTGTCAGTCCTGCCTTGCCTTTCATGTCGTCGTTTACCTCATTTCTTGCTCGAACGTTTGGCAAGAATTCATCAACAGCATCGGTCAGAAAAGCTATGAATTCGAGCGAGGTCTTAAAGATGACAGAAACGGCAACTTTTGCCATGGGATGATTCTGGTTCCCCGAGTCGCAGTTCGGCTGTGTCCCGGGGATTTTACAAACCCGAGTTGGCTATACTGGCGGGCACAAGAAAAACCCAACTTATAGAAGCTTGTAAGTATGCTACAAATTGTTTTAAAATCTCCATCTCAAATAGTTGATAGGTTTTCACTTTACATACTTTTATGGTTGCGTCACAAGTTAGATAATTACTTGTGATTTTAAATTTCGCATTTTATGACACTGAAACTAATTTTTGGCCATCGTGGGTTTCGGTATTACAAAAAGCCTAAACAGAAGAATTAACAGAATTTATTAAAATCTTATGCATTGCTTACGAAATACAAGACTATTAATACTGTATTTAATGCATATTTTGAAAGAGACGCCCACTGGTCAGCCAGGGCACTTATTAAACTAATTTATATAGTCTTAAGCCTCTGTATGTGGTTCATTTATGTGTTAAAATTGAATAGAACAATGCATTTAATTTCTGGCCATCCTCTGCCAATTTTGACCTTCAGACCTTGAACAGGTGAATGCGTCACATCTCGTTAATCCTCTCTGAGCCCTTAAAAGGTGTCAAAGTTGATAGGTGATCTTATTAAATTAACTTGTATCTCAGGCAACTCAAAAGTTGACCCAACCCTTCAAATCTTGGATTTTGTGGCACCAAGTACGGTCAGTAAAACGGAACTGAATTTCCAACGAAAAACATACAATTACCATATGTTGACATGGCAAGAGTGAGGGTTAAGCCACGGTCAAACATCAAACTTTTCATGTGCCGAACCTACAGTGTAATGCAAATGAAGTGAAACAAAGAACTAAGCTCATTAACATTAGGTTCGGCACATGAAAAGTTTGACCCTGGCCTTACTTGCACAGTTTTCATTTTTCTACTGTATGCAAATTGAAATACTGGTATATCCAGCATATTGAGTTTCCACAGTCGGTGTTGGTAGCGACAAAGACAAGACAGCTGTGAATTAAGAGAGTACGTGGAGGTTATAAGCAGAGCTTATATTTTTCAGATAGTTGTATTTCTCCCAATATTATTTATGTAGCTGGACCTAAGTGGCCAACAGTAGGTAGCAATTGACCATTTGCGTAATAGACTAAATTTTGATCTCAACAAAAATTTCAATACAGCTTGAAAGAACATCACAAAATTAGTAATATTCCAAAGTT